TATTTACACATTTTAAATTTCCGACTTCAAAGTTCTTACTTCTGACTTCCAATTTCCGACTTCTCACTTCCGACTTCACATTTCCACTTCTCACTTCTGAATTCGAACTTAAGAGTTCTCTCTTCAGACTTCAGATTTGCCAGTCCGTGCTTCTCATTGCAGGCGCGTCTTTCATGCATCTCGCGAGATCTCGCAATTGTTCGGAAAATCACCTATTCTGTGCACAAATGATAGACTACTATGTAGTTTCATCACTACAGATGACGGTACTTTTTGCTCCTGCGGTTTGCAACAATAATAACTCGGAAGTTAGAAGTCGGAACTCTGAAGTTAGAAGTCGGAACTCTGAAGTTAGAAGTCGGAACTCGGAAGTTGGAACTGTGAACTAGGAAGGCCCCTCTCGGCTTTCGTACATTTGCGTTACATACGTATTATTAAATTTTGGTTGAAAATTTTAAAAATGCAAACACAGCGTTATGTTTACCAATGTTACCTTTTCCAGTATAAAAAAGCGGAAAACAACCGTAAATGTTGGGCTTTCCAAGTCAAAGAACTTCTATTTTCGCACGGTTTTGGTTTTGTTTGGTTAAATCAAGGCGTGGAAGATAACTGTTTTGTCTCTATTCACCCAAAGAGTTCATGATATGTACAAACAAACTTGGTTTACAGATCTCAACAATTATCCTAAACTCGGGAAATACAGAGATTTTAAGATTGATTTTGGATGTGAAAAATATTTGCATTTAATAAAAGACAACAAGTTACGTTCTGCGCTATGTCAGCTTAGAACATCATCCCACAACCTTCGGGTTGAATCTGACCGTAAACTAAACATACCGAGGAATATGAGAATCTGCAAATTATGTAATTTAGGGTTGGTTGAGGATGAATACCATTTTTGCCTTGTATGTCCACATTTTGTAAATCTTAGAAAAAAAATATTTATCTAAATTTTATCTGTACAATCAGACTTACGAAAAATTTCTTCGTTTAATGCAGTTCGACAACTTATCTGTTCTTCAAATTTCGAAATGTGTATTCTACGCTTCTAAACACAGAGTCAATCTACTTAACCAGTTGTGACTCGTAGATTGAACAATTATTTAAAGGAATCCCTCTGTATGTATTTTTCTATTTTTTTGATTTATTGTACCATAGGCCTGAGGCCATTGTACTGAATAAAATTCATATCATATTATCAAACCATGTGAACCATGGCAGTCAGGTAGGGTATATCAAACCATGTGAACCATGGCAGTTGGGTAGGGTATATCAAACCATGTGAACCATGGCAGTCAGGTAGGGTATATCAAACCATGTGAACCATGGCAGTTGAGTAGGGTATATCAAACCATGTGAACCATGGCAGTCAGGTAGGGTATATCAAACCATGTGAACCATGGCAGTTGGGTAGGGTATATCAAACCATGTGAACCCTGGCAGTTGGGTAGGGTATATCAAACCATGTGAACCATGGCAGTTGGGTAGGGTATATCAAACCATGTGAACCCTGGCAGTTGGGTAGAGTATATCAAACCATGTGAACCCTGGCAGTTGGGTAGGGTATATCAAACCATGTGAACCCTGGCAGTTGGGTAGGGTATATCAAACCATGTGAACCCTGGCAGTTGGGTAGGGTATATCAAACCATGTGAACCCTGGCAGTCAGGTAGGGAAAATCAAACCATGTGAACCCTGGCAGTTGGGTAGGGTATATCAAACCATGTGAACCCTGGCAGTCAGGTAGGGTATATCAAACCATGTGAACCGTGGCAGTTGGTTAGGGTATATATCGAACCATGTAAACCATGGCAGTTGGGTAGGGTATATCAAACCATGTGAACCATGGCAGTCTGATAGGGTATATCAAACCATGTGAACCCTGGCAGTTGGGTAGGGTATATCAAACCATGTGAACCATGGCAGTTGGGTAGGATATATCAAACCATGTGAACCCTGGCAGCTGGGTAGGGTATATCAAACCATGTGAACCCTGGCAGTTGGGTAGGGTATATCAAACCATGTGAACCATGGCAGTTGAGTAGGGTATATCAAACCATGTGAACCATGGCAGCTGGGTAGAGTATATCAAACCATGTGAACCATGGCAGTTGGGTAGGGTATATCAAACCATGCGAACCACGGCAGCTGGGTAGGGTATATCAAACCATGTGAACTATGGCAGTCTGATAGGGTATATATCGAACCATGTAAACCATGGCAGTTGGGTAGGGTATATCAAACCATGTGAACTATGGCACTCTGATAGGGTATATATCGAACCATGTAAACCATGGCAGTTGGGTAGGGTATATCAAACCATGTGAACCATGGCAGTATGATAGGGTATATCAAACCATGTGAACCATGGCAGCTGGGTAGGGTATATCAACCCATGTGAACCACGGCAGTTGGGTAGGGTATATCAAACCATGTGAACTATGGCAGTCTGATAGGGTATATATCGAACCGTGTAAACCATGGCAGTTGGGTAGGGTATATCAAACCATGTGAACCATGGCAGTATGATAGGGTATATCAAACCATGTGAACCATGGCAGCTGGGTAGGGTATATCAACCCATGTGAACCACGGCAGTTGGGTAGGGTATATCAAACCATGTGAACCATGGCAGTATGATAGGGTATATCAAACCATGTGAACCATGGCAGCTGGGTAGGGTATATCAACCCATGTGAACCACGGCAGTTGGGTAGGGTATATCAAACCATGTGAACCATGGCAGTCTGATAGTGTATATCAAACCATGTGAACCGTGGCAGTTGGGTAGGGTATATCAAACCATGTGAACCGTGGCAGTTGGTTAGGGTATATATCGAACCATGTAAACCATGGCAGTTGGGTAGGGTATATCAAACCATGTGAACCATGGCAGTCTGATAGGGTATATCAACCCATGTGAACCATGGCAGCTGGGTAGGGTATATCAAACCATGAGAACCATGGCAGTTGGGTAAGGTATATCAAACCATGGCAGCTGGGTATGGTATATCAAACCATGTGAACCATGGCAGCTGGGTAGGGTGTATCAAACCATGTGAATCATGGCAGCTGGGTAGGGTATATCAAACCATGTGAACCATGGCAGCTGGGTAGGCTGTATCAAACCATGTGAACCATGGCAGTTGGGTAGGGTATATCAAACTATGTGAACCATGGCAGTTGGGTAGGGTATATCAAACCATGTGAATCATGGCAGTCGGGTAGGGTATATCAAACCATGTGAACCATGGCAGCTGGGTAG